AAAAAAAAAATTAGCCAGACATGGTGGCATGCTGCTAGCTACTTGGGAGGCTGAGATGGGAGGTTGAGACTGCAGTGAGCTGTAATTGTGCACCTGCGCTGTAGCCTGGGTTACAAAGGGAGACCCTTGCTCAAAAAAAAAGAATAGCGATGATCTTACATACATTCGTAACTAAACAGTTAACTTTAGTCAATTTAAAGTTGATACACTACTTTGATTAAACTGTCATTCATATTCCAATTTTGTCAAGTGACCCAGTAATGTCCTTAAATCCTTAATAACATTTTTCTCTTTGTGCTCTAAGTAGGCCCTTGCTTCTTTTGGTTTTGCTCAGTATGAGCTTACAAAGTCCCTTGGGTTGTCTTGAATGTTTTTCACAATGATCAGCTTGTTTTGGCTATCACTTTTCCTGAAACTATGATAATCCTTACCACTCTTTTTTTATACTCTTACTTGTTCATGGTTACTGTGTCTGTCTTGCCTCTCTGTGTTGTCCTCCACTCCCACTCAGTGTTTTCAGAGAGTGAATGTCCTGTGTAGCCATGTTGATTTATTTATCTGATGCCTTTTTTTTTCTCTTAAGTATATTTACCATTTTAATGTGAGAACTGTATTTAAATTATAACCTCTAGTCTTTTTTTTTTGAGACAGGATTTTGCCCTGTTGCCCAGCCTGGAGTGCAATGGCCCGATCATGGCTCACTGCAGCCTCAACCTCCTAGGCTCAAGTGATCCTCCTGTCTCAGCCTCCTGAGTAACTGGGACTGTCAGTGCATGCCATAATGCCTGTCTGATTTTTTTTTTTAGAGACAGGCCTTGCTGTGTTGCCCAGGGTGGTCTTGAACTCCTGACCTCAAGCAGTCCTCCTGCCTCAGTCCCCCAAGGTGCTGGTATTATAGGCATGAACCACAGCACTCGGCCATAACCTCCAGTCTTTAAGTCAGAGGAAATAATTATATATGAAAGATGTTTGGGTGTGATAAGGCAATTGATTAGGAATTTGAAGTAGCAAGCCTTGGGTTTGTATGGGTCAGTGCTTCTCAAACTTAATGTGTATACACATCTCCTGGGGATCTTTTAAAAATGCAGATTCTGATTCGGGTCTGGGGTGGGACCCAAAATGCATTTTTAATGAGTTCCTGTAGTGGCAAGGCCCTAGATAAGATTTAAGACCCTAATATTCTAGGTCCTAAAGCAGGGACTTCTGGTAGGCAACATCACTAGTCTGTAGTTGATGGTCTTACAGGATTCAGACAAAGGAAAGGTGCTGAGGAACGTGAAGACAAACAGATGTGGAGTTCTAAAGATTTAAAAAAAAAAAAAAAAAAGTAGCTAGTGAATGGTACTTGGAGTGGGAAAGAATCCAGTCTCTGTCACTCATTAGCTGTTACTTTTACAGACTGACTGCCCCAAGTCTTGGTTTCCTTTTGGTAGGATACAGTAATAATAGCCACTTCTTAGGATTTGGTGAAGACTGTTTACCTAAAGTGCTTCTAACACAGTGTTTGGCACATCACATGCTAGACGTTCAGTAAGTTGTTAGAAGCTTAGCTGAACCTGGTCCAGATTGCAGAACAGATGAGTGATCATGAACTGTGAACACTTAAGGAAGTAGAGTTCGTTAGTGACCAACTTGAGTTGTCATGCCATTTTCTACTTAGGCAAGTTTATTGCTAGATTAGAGGATCACTACAGAGATAATTCCTAGCTTTGGTACAGGAATTTGTCAAAGCCTCAAGATATCTTTGTAGGCACAGTAGAGAACTTTCAAGTTAGCGGAGGTAGATGGGTTTGTGGCTGGTGAAACAGGTGTACCAACACAATAGTGAATACAAATTGATGTGAATGAGAAAAGGGGTCTGTAGTGCTTACCATGTTGCTTTTTTGACTCTCTCCAAAATACCTTTTAGAAAAAACCTTGGGTGAGGACAGTTACCAGAACCCATACTTGCCATCTTTGGTGTTTTCAGACACAAGCCTTTGGGGCAGCATCCCTTCTTGAGTATTTTTTTCTGGCATTCTGCTTTATGCTGTTTCTCCCTTGACAACTCTCAGAGCTCTCTGCTGTGCCACTTGAAACTCCCCTTTTCCAGGGTTAACAAACTGGCCTCCTTCTTGTTACTGGTGCTTTAGCTGAAGACTTTTCCTTTAAGATGCTGCTATGCCAAGTAGAGCCTACTCATTGTCCCAGGTCTCTGAAAATCTCAGTGTTTAACTCCAAGCCCAGTTATCACCATAGGTCTCTTTAGTGTCCACATGAATGACGTTACCTAATATTTCAAACTTTCCACATTCTAAGTCAGCCATGTCTAGTTCCATACTCTGGACCTTGACATCCTCAGAGCTCTTAATCTTCACTGTCCCACCTCTTCGTGTTTATCTCATCTGCCACCCTCATTCTTCTTATCAGCCTATTGAAAACACTGATTTTCCACTTACTTACTCCCAAACTATTGACTTTGTTCTGTCTTTAGCCTATAATGCACGACCCATTCTTCATTTCCTTTGTTGCTGTTATCATCAACTCTGTTGTCCCATTTATTCCTTCATACCCCGTTGGGGGAACAAAATCATAGCTCTGGATGGCTCCAGTGTATCTGAGCTCTGCTGGAGAAAATCCTTCAAGTCCAACTTAGTTTTCTCTTTGCTAGGCGCTGGTTCCTACTGGTACTTTCCCTTAGTTTCCCTGGTCAGCCTTCTCTGCTATCTACACAGTAGCTCTGCAGATGGCCTTTTCCATGTCTCTCAGTTACCCTTAAGATAAAATCAAGCTGGGTGCAGTGGCTCATGCCTGTAATCCTAGGACTCTGTGAGGCTGAGACAAGAGGATTGCTTGAGCTCAGGTGTTTGAGACCAGCCTGGGCAACATAGTGAGACCCTACCTCTACTAAAAATTTTTTTAAAATCAACCGGATGTGGTAGATATTACATGCCTGTAGTCCCAGCTATTCTAGAGGCTGAGATGGAAAGATTGCTTGAGCCCAGGAAGCTTGAGGTTGAAGTAAGCCACTGCACTCCAGCCTGGGGAACAGAACTAGGCCCTGTCTCAAAAAAACAAATGACAATAAGATAAAATGAAAACTATTTAACTTAGTTGTCAGGGTTCTTTGCGATTTGAATTGTTACCTCACTGTTCATCACCCTAACTTGTTTTTGTGAAATGTGGAAAAGGATGAGGCCCTCCGGGGCATTGGTACCACTTTTAAGATGGATGCATATGATCTGTTGATTTTTCACAGTGTCTCTTTGCCAGTCTTTGCAGCATTAGGGTGGAACCTTGAATAAAATCTTCTCATATTCTGCCTTCTCAGGGCATGGACTCTACAGACTTTGATTTTGAATTTCTTTCAGGCAGGAGTTTGTCAAGGAATTTATTTTTATTTTTATTTTTTAGACAAGAGTCTTGCTCTGTTGCCCAGGCTGGAGTGCAGTGGTACAATCTCGGCTCACTGCAACCTCTGCCTCCTGGGTTCAAGCAATCCTTGGGCCTCAGCTTCCCAAGCAGCTGGGATTATAGGCGTGCACCACCACGCCTGGCTAATTTTTGTATTTTTAGTAGAGATGGAGTTTCGCCATGTTAGGCAGGCTGGTTTCAAACTCCTGACCTCAGGTGATCCAACTGCCTCAGCCTCCCAAAGTTCTGGGATTACAGGAGTGAGCCACCACACCCGGCCAAAGGATTATTTGAGAAGTTTGTCAAGGATTATTTCTGATGGTTATCAATCCAAGCATTTTGAGACACTTAGTTTTAGCATACAGTTAAATGCTAGAGCTTTGAAAACTGCTTCAAAAGGCAATTTCAAAGTTAGGAATGTTTCCTTGAAAAGCAAAATGCTAAACTAACTCCTTGGTGGATGTGATGTGGCTCTACCCCACCCACATCCCACAACATACATATTAGACTGGCTAGATATAAAAAGACTGACCAAACCAGGTGTTGGCCAGGTTGTAGAGGGACTGAAACTCTCATACTGCTGATGGGAAGGTAAAATGGTATAATTCCATCTACTTGGAAAAAGTATTATGGCAGTCTCTTTAAAAATTAAAGCTATTTTTACCACAAAATAATAACTAGATAAGTAGATATATCTATAGTTTCCCCTGTGTTAAATGTTAAGAATACACCTACCATGTCTTATCCAAAAGGGGAGGTCATATACCTAAAGGAGAGTGGGCTGGTCTGGTCCCATATTAACAGATTTTTGGGATCTTATGCATATCTTCCATCAGTGGCATGTGTGTCTGGTACCCTGAAAGCATGCATTGATTTTAATTTCAGTCTTGAGAGGTTTATTCCTGCTTCTTGGGACTCCAGCTCCAGACAAGCATTCAAACTGACTTAGAGGCCTGGGAGGAAGTCAGCTCTGGGTGACCTGTGTTTCATTTCATTGCTAGTCAGGGCTGAAGTGGGGCCAATCAGTGCCAGTTATTGAGCACTTATACATATTATTTTGGTTTTACCTCAGCCATTTTGAGGTGAATGTTCTCATTCTTCAGATGAAAAAAAAAAAACAACTTCAAATTAAGTCTTCTTTCCTAGATTTAGCACACCCATAGCTCCGTGCCAAAGCCCTCTTATTCTTCATCCTCATAGATAGAGGGTGTGCTTTGCTTAGGTTCCCCAAGGCCAAGTGTGGAAAATGTTGCTCTTTTTTTTTTATGTTTCATGTTTAAATATTTATGATGTGCTGGGTGCTACTGTGCTGAGCTCTTTCCATCTGGTATCTGATTATTGAGCTGTCCTAACAATGTTATGAAATAGTTGATACTCCACCCTAGATGCCAGTGAGAAAATAGAGGGTCAGAGAAGCTAAGTGAGCTTCCCAGAGCTCACAGACATATACAAGAGGTGTCAGACACAGGACTTGATCCCAAGCTTGTCTTAAGTCAAAGAATGGGCTTAAGCATGTCATTCTGCTTCCATCCTAAACATTTCAAGTTCAGGGGTACATTGAAGAGAATCTGTATGTGTTAGAAGTTTGCATAAGTGAACCTCTCACATGAGGTGGTATGATTATGCTATACCAGATTTCTGGGGTGTGGCCTGAAATTCTATATTATAGCATTAGAAAGGTGGGAATTCTTCTAATAAACAAATTGGCAGCAGTAAAGATGAAGTATGGTTTGGAATTTCTGACTGTGCTGTAGGTATATCCAGGCATTAATAGCAGCTGTGACCAGGGTCCCCAGTGACAGTTTCCCAAATGCTGGCATTGACCTTTAAGCCTGGGTAGTAGAACCCAGCAGTTTTGCTGCTACTGTAACAGCAGGAACTCTGGTCTTCAGTCAGCCTGTAACTTCCTCTAACAGGGCCCTTGTGGCCAGGTCTCAGAGCTGGATATATATCTGTTCATTATATTGTGTTTTGCTGGCATGCTTTTAGTGGTCTTGCCTTTGGTATCTCTTGTTGGGTGGCTGTAGGAGAAGAAAGAGGCTGTTGGCTGCAAAGAAAACTAAGAGGTCATGAGGTTTCCTTTTTTGTCCTCCTAGTACTGAGCATGCTCCATAACCCACTGGGAAATGTCCTAGGAAAACCCCCCTTGAGCTTCCTGCCTCTGGATCCCCTTGGGTCTGACTTGGTGGACAAGTTTCCAGCACCCTCAGTTAGAGGATCACGCCTGGACACCCGGCCCATCCTGGACTCCCGATCTAGCAGCCCCTCTGACTCAGACACCAGTGGCTTCAGCTCTGGATCAGATCATCTCTCAGATTTGATTGTATGTAACTCATTTGGGAAAGGGGGGTTGTGGGTGGAGTTGCCTGTGTGTGTCCAAGGGGAAGGAGGGTACAATATCTATGGGATGCCTGTCCCCTGGAATGCAGGCTGGGAGATGGGATGAGGGGAGGAGTGGAGACCATTGTGGACATTTGTAGAGTTCTCATCCTTAACAGAAAAGAGGATGCTTTGAAGACCCATTGAGCAATACATTTCAGGACCTGAGCTCAGGGCTCTCATTTTACTAGTTACTCCAAGAATACTGGAAAACACTTAATTTCAAAAGTAAATGTGAGGGCCTTAGCAGTATTCTGTTTCTTTACCTACACGGGGTGCTTGCTTTAGCCCTTAAACAGTGTCATTTATGTACTTTGATGTATGATATCTCAAAAGCAGTAACTTAAAAAATTTTAAAGTAGTAATTAGCAGAGATAGGATTTTAATCCAGATCTGACTGACTGTGGCTCCTATATTTTTTCCACTGACCCATGTCAGCTTTTTTAAATTCACACCATGATGAATCTATGAAACATTGCCTCAGTTAATTTTTGCATTTCATGTTCCTTATCTACAGCCATGTATGA